GGTGCTGGCTTTCTGCTTTATTTGAATGGTTTTTTTCCTCATCCTGATTGGCTGGGAGTCTAGGTCTGTGTTTATTGGTATTCGAGTTGCTGGGTTCTTGATGAGGATGAGGAAAAAAAAACCATTCAAATAAAGCAGAAAGCCAGCACCAAATTCAAACAAAAAACGGCTGCCAAGCCTGACACACAAGAAAGAAAGAAAAAGGGTCAGACCTGCCGAAACATCGCTATAATAAAAGCACAAATATTAAGACGTGGGAAAATACCCGAAGAAAACTAAATACCATATATATATATATATCCTGTTATGGTTGTTTTAATAGGTTCAGTGTGTGTGTGTGTGTGTGTGTTTCTGAGGTTCTCGCGGGTATTAGTATACATATGTATACATACATATATGTATGTATGTATGTATGTATATGTATATATACGTTTTCTTAAGTTTTCGTGGGTACTTACATGTATGGTATTCAGCTTTGTTCAGGTATTTTCCCACGTCATTATAGTTGTGCTTTTAAAGTTGTAGCAACGTTTCGGCAGAATCTCATCTGCCATCATCAGGCTTCTGTATTGTGTCAGTACTGTATTCTGTATTGTGCCTGATTCACAGACAAATTATATATATATATATTGCAGTTAAATTATGGGGAAATGGGGAAAGCTAGTAGCTGAAAGAGCATGTCTTGAAAAATAATGCTTTTTATTACGAGCAAGACGCGATTGTACTGAATTCTATTGACACATCTTGCTCGTTTTAACCTAGCTAGCTTTGAGCATGGGGAAGGAAGTTGGGGACAAAGTGGCACCCAACCGTAATCCATCATAAGTCAGGGCTCGGACATCATGCTGAGTTACCAAATGAGACGTAAAGGCAACCGCTACCAAATCATGTATCGGCTGCTAAAAATGATATTAAAAGACTTTATATCCCCCCTTGCAGGATGGCCCTGTGAAGTGATGTGAGTAATTAGAACTGGCAGGATGCGTATTGTGTACAGCAAGGTGCAAATCTATTAACTTGGAAGAGCTGGAGGCAAGGAGACAAGGGTCAAGTTTGTGCCTTTCAAGAAAATTGGTTGGTCAGGAAAGGTGCTAGGAAGCTACCCTGGATTTTTGCCACCTTAGATTAATACAGTTCACCCCTATGGTCAGGTTTGTAGAAATATCAGTCACTTTGGATGAAGGGCTGCCCCACATTTGTTTTGTCACCTCCAGAGGCCTCTAGAATGGGGGGAGGGCAGTATATACAGGTAGTCCTCAGCTTACAATGGTTCGTTTAGTGACCGTTCAAACTCACAACGGCACTGAAAAAAGTGACCGATGACCGTTTTTCCACAGTTACGACCTAGTGGCATTCGTTCCCATGATCATGCGATCAAAATTCAGAGGCTTGGCAACTGGCTCAGATTTATGACCATTGCTGTGTTTCCTGTGTCGTGAGATCCCCCTTTGCCACCTTCCGACAAGCCAAGTCAATGGGGAAGCCAGATTCACTTAACAACCAAGCTACTAACTGTTGGAAGAACTATCCTTCTGGGTTCAGTTCCAAGTGGGGAAGAAAGACACCGGAAACATGGAGGCTGCTTGGAAAGATGATTTAATGGTGGACAGGACCACATGGCTTGGAGCTCCAAAGAAGGAAGAACGATCACATGCTTCAAGATGAAGGAAAAGAAGGAAGGACTGAGTCCCTTACATACCCTCTGTTGGGATTTGAATTTGAGCTTGTATTCTGATGGGTTGTCAGACTCACATGGGGCCATGCAGGGGCAACTCTGTAGGCTGTCCTGAGTCCCAGGCTTGGTTGAGCCTTGCTGGATGATGATGTAATGAAAGGGCTTTGGGCATTATTGAGTGATATATTTCTTATGTTTTTAATGTAATAAAAATTCAATAAAGTCTATTTTTAAAAAAGACAGGGCTTTGGGCAATTTCTATTACAGCTCTACCTGGAGATCTTTGTTATGTAAAATATTCTGGCCCAGGTCTTAATAGCCCACTCATTAACAAAGGTAAGGGTGAGCTTCTGCTTCTGAGTTTCTATTCTTTTTAGGGAAAATATTCTGCCTTTTTAATATTTCCTAGGATATTTCATTTTTCTAGGAGAGGGGCTAACTTCCTACAGTGAGAAACTGGGAGACCATGAGTTATAGTCCCGTCTTAGTGATGAAAGCCAACTGGGTGACTTTGGACTGGCCCCTCTCTCTCAGCCCAACTCGCAGGATAATTATTGTGGAGAAAATAGAAGGAGGGAGGATATTAGATATGTTCAACGCCTTGAGTTGTTTATAAAATAATAAAGGCGGGATATAAATAAAAACAACAAGTGCTTCCTCCTGAAATGTGTTGCTGGCTACCAATTGGAGACATTTATGGAAGTCCTGGTCATCAGTGCTTCTTAATCTGGATAGAAGCCTCTGCAAGCCATCTGTTGGGAAATCTTTGGCTTCCTTGTGCAGTTGGTTGGCCGCTATGAGAACAGATTGCTGGGACAGATTGGCCAGGGGTTCAATGCTGTGTTTTTACGTGCAGAATCAAAAGTGTTCACCGCTTTGATATAAAGGGCCCACACGGTGAGTCTCCCACGCAGAGACACACACACACATTTTTTGCATTCATCGCTCTTCTGAATTCCCACTACCCAAAAGAAATTGTTTCGCCTTATAGCATACCAAGATCTAATTTGATCCTCCGATGCCCCCCCGATATGCACTCAGTGAGAACAACATTAGGGGAAGAACTTTCATGCTGTTGCAGATATCTGCTAAGTTGCTGATTAAGAGCAGACACTACATCTGACAGGGCAGAACATGCAAACATGCTCGGCATCAGCCTGGCGGCCTAAGATAGCCACCGGGTTTTCTGCAATTCACATTCTCGGCAGAAGTGATAAGACCTTGGACAAGTTGCCAAGGAGGGACTGTTTTCCGTGTTTTACACCCAGTTCGGTTGTTAAAAATGTATCGAGCAATTAAAAACCATCAGCCTGGTCAGAAGATAATATTACTTACTAAGCATGAAAAACTGGACTCCCTTTCCTGAATTTTAAGGGCATAAACCGGACATGGGCAGATCCAGCCAAAAAAAAAAAATCAGCTACTTGGAACAAAAATAATCCTCACCCACCAGGAAACCACAAATATGCCAACCTATTATTTGAGCTCAACTCCATCTCAAATCATGGCATTCGGGAGCCTGTTTGGTTACTGCAACATCACCATTCATTCATTGGCTTGGTTATACACAGTTGACACTTTTCTTTGGGGCTTCAATCTATCTCTAGAACAGGGGCCTTCAGACTTGACAGCTGTAAGACTTATGGACTTCAACTCCCAGAATTCCTCCTCCAGTCATGTTAGCTCAGGAATTCTGGGAGTTGAAGTCCACAAATCTTAAACTTGCCAAGTTTGAAGATCCTTGTTCTAGAATCTAGTTCAGCTAGTAACCTAATCTCAGCTCAGCTGGGTTGACAGAAGAGGCTTCTTTGTTATATAACAGGGCTGTAGGAGAGCAATTTAAGTTATAAAACAGATTCAGAAAGGGAAATGGCCAGGAGCCATCAAACAAAATGACTAGAACTTCAGCCCAGCTACCTGATGCAGTGGCTTTTAAGTGAAGCACACACATTCTCTTTCAATCCTCTTATTTAATTGATGTACAGGGGGGTGATTTATTTTTCCACCCAATGTTCTCCAACGAAAGAATTTCCCCATGAATTTCTCAGTGTCTGGATTATTTCAGAAAAGCAACTTTCTTCTGTGGTACTGAATAACTTGAATAGTTATTGAATAGTTATTGAATGAGTCACTTCATGAGAACTTTCCTGGAGAATTAATGGAACAATGGGGAGCTTGCAAGATTGTAGAGCACTGGAGAGAGGATAATACAGCAAAGACAAGATATTCAGAGTCTTTCAGTACTAAATAAATACACCTCAAATTTTTTGCATAAGCATCTTCTTTCTAAAATTCTAAAGCTAATTCTATTTCTGCATATTGGGTGAAAATTGCTATGGAAAAATGCAAGATCATTTTTCTACCTATTTAATTATTTAATATTTCAACCTATTTTTATGGTGGCCCTATGTACAGAGTACAGAGAAGAGCAACAAAGACATGGGGATAATTGGGTTATGTTTAGTTTGATGAAAAGAAGGACTAGGAGTGACATGATAGCAGTCTTCCAATATCTCAGGAGCTGCCACAAAGAAAAGGGAGACAAGCTATTTTCCAAAGCGTCTTGAAGGCAGGACAAGAAGCCATGGATAGAAACAAACAGTGACAGTGAGAACAATTAATCAGTGGAACAAGTTGCCTCCAGAAGTTGTGGATGCTCCAAAACTGGAAGTTTTTGAGATGAGATTGGATAGTCATTTGTCTGAAATGGCAGAGGGCAGTGATGGCTAACCTTTTTGTTGTTGTGTGCCAAAAGTACGTGCGTGTGCACATAAGAGCGTGCATGCGTGCCTGCACCTATAATGCAATGCATATGTGACC